GGCAAGTTATCCTTATCCTCTGAGCATTTTTCTGCATTATCTTCAGATCCATGCTTTACCTTTTGCAAAATGTATGTAATTTTAGATTGCTTGCTTCTAGTTAAAAGGTCTTTATAAATTTCCTTATATGGTGCTAAGCACTTTATGAAGAATAAAGAAAGTATGGAATAAGGGAAAAACATTCGGCAACATCAGAAGCAGAAGCGTCGCGATCTGGCAACATTGAAACAAGTTTCGAGAAGGACCATGTGTATCGACAGAAGGCGAGAAAAGAAAATTTACATACTTAAGTACTAATAGTTTACGAAAATAATAATTTTCGTGAACTATTATTACTTAAGTATGTAAAAGTGGTTAAAGTCCAGATACGTATACCATCATGGCAGCTCATCTCTGATTCCAGCAAACAAAAGGAAACAGTGGGGACGCACGTTTTAACCTAACCTAACCTATTCTAATAATTTGGTTGGTAATAATTATGGTAATTTATTAAAATAGGTTAGGTTAGGTTAGAACGTGCGTCCCCACTGTTTCCTTTCTTTTGTTTGCTGGAATCAGCGATGAGCCGCCATGACGGTATACGTATCTGAACTTTAACCGTAAAAATTTATTACGTTTCCTGTTGTACGAGAGTTTTACCCAATTCTTGAACCGTGTCAGAGTGAATCCGTGCTATAGAAGTGCCGTGTTATACGGGGATTACCTGTGCACACCGCCGGTAATCTTAAGTATATTTCTGAGATCGACAGTCCTGTAAATGTTTTTGCAAAACAAAAATGAAAATTGCGATTCGATGTTTCTAGGATTATTGAGCGTGGTCCTAAAAGCAGAAAAATCGAATAATTATTCAAGAGACGAATTAATGAATCAGCCTAATTCCAACATTCGTATTATACGTTTCGTTATTTTTTCTATCCGTTTCCTCGCATACTTTCCTTTCATTGCAGATTTGGTTCGTTTTACATCTTATACAGACGTTTATTACAAGTTTTAATTGCTTTTGATTTTTATTTAAAGAGATATTGAGAGATCAGCCGGGGGTACAACTCCGCTAAGGATCGTTAGTACCACTTAATCGGCCTATTCCGTGAGAATAGTTCTCCGAGTTTCGGATCTCTAGATCCGATCTTAAAAGTTTTATATAGGAGAGCGTATTTAAAAATAATGATCTGAACGGCGATGTTCAGATGCTCGTCAGGATTCCTTGACACCAGTTAATCAAACTTATTATACGCCGATTAACACGCGTTTGCGATCTGATTCGGAATGAATTGAAGAGACATTTTTATAAAATAAAACAAAAGTAAATTTAATAATTCCAAACGAACGAATACAAATAATCGATAACAACAATTAAGCGACAAGCTAGAGGTTACGACTTATTCTATGCTAATGCGCGATCGAGAGAGAGAGCTCACAAAATGATTCTAAACATACGACCTGTTAGTTGTCGTCGTCTTCGTTTCTGTAGGTAAAGGACACCTTGTAGATAAGGTTCATATTACTTTCATACGGGAGATCAATTCGTGCACAAAATATAAAAGTATCACTTCTACGTGTAGACTCGGGACTTAGTCTATGGGACTCCGTTTAGGGCGTTGGCCATCAGGAGGAAAACGGCGTGGAGTTTAGATGCTTCGGATCTGTCGAAGAACTCCTCGAATTTAGACTAAATTCCCCTTATATCTCCTGAATTTCGACCAATCATCGTCCAGTAACTCTTTCGTGAGAACGGACGAAAGGGGGATGAATGAGGGGTAACCATTTCCCATCTGAGCGAGATTTTTAACCAGATACGGAAAAACAGAGGATGTTCTCTTCTGTGAAAGGAAATAACATCTGTTATCTGGTTTTTCCACGTCTAAAACACNTACTTGAGTAAATGATATAGTTAACACTTTTGTATTTATTTTTTCATTTTAATAAATAATAATAGTCTATATTTAATCCACTAATTATTTTGGAACAAGCGTAAACCTGTATTTTTTCCGGTAGATGAAAGTAATCCCCGACGGATAATACACACCAAAGACAAACTTTGCTTGCTAGTACCGTCTCGCGGCGTTAATTTATAACTTAAACAAGACAGAAAAATTAAAATTAAAGTTTCGGAGTAATACATATTTGAAGTTAATATTTCGACCATACATTCTTGTCTGTATTAGGAAGTACACGTTTCGAGTTTCCAACCTTACATATTTAAATGTGAAATCGCATCGGCTTTAGATATATATTACAAAGAATTTTACAATAAATTAAAATATTATATATATTTATAAATATGTCTGTCTGTCTGTCTGCTATGGAAATTAAAGGAAAACTGTGTACGGGACAGAAGAAAGGGTGTAGGCTACTAGATCTATCTTTTTGCGATAACTGTAACGGTTCGATTTAAGACGAGTCGAATAGCACTTCCGCCGATTTAGTAATTAAAAGGGAGAGACGACCCCATTTCCGCTCCTTTGTTGGTACAGGTAACCCCCGTATAACACTGTAGTTACGTTCCAAAAAATTGCCGTGTTATGCGAAACAAAGAACTAATACGAAAAGGAGGGTTAGGTTCCAAAAATGAAAACATGCTATTATATTTTCATAATTAAGATAAATTTCTTTATTAAAATTTTCTTAAGTGATACATATTAATATAAATTAAACAATGTTTTCTTCGTCATCACTAAAAACACTATTAATTAACCGAGAGCGTTTTCTTTTTGGCAAGTTATCCTTGTCCTCTGAGCATTTTTCTGCATTACCTTCAGACCCATGCTTTACCTTTTGCAAAATGTATGTAATTTTAGATTGCTCGCTTCTAGTTAAAAGGTCTTTATAAATTTCCTTATATGGTGCTAAGCACTTTATGAAGAATAAAGAAAGTATGGAATAAGAGAAAAACATTCGGCAACATCAGAAGCAGAAGCGTCGCGATCTGGCAACATTGAAACAAGTTTCGAGAAGGACCAGGTGTATGACAGAAGGCGAGAAGAGAAAATTTACATTACTT